CTCTCTCTCTCTCTCTCTCTCTCTCTCTCTCTCTCTCTCTCTCTCTCTCTCTCTCTCTCTCTCTCTCTCTCTCTCTCTCTCTCTCTCTCGCGGTTCTCTAGCTCGGTTCGCTAGAGTGGCCGGGGGTAACTGGGGAGCTCCTCACCGTTTACCCCGACCTGGAGAGATTTCTTACTAAGTGGGCCCAGTGGCGGACAGCGTTTCAAGGACTGATGATTTGAGACTATGAATTTTTGGCTTTCTGTATTTCTGTATTATAGTGCTATGTGTGGACAAATTCAGGCACGGGTGTATATGTCCAAATTTTGTACCGGGTACAGTAGCACGCAGGGCGGACGACATTTCAGGGACTGAGGGCTTGAGACTCTGAATTTTTCGCTTGCCGTAGTTTTTTGTTTTTCTGTACAATAGTGTTGTGATTGGACAAATTCGGACACAGGTGCATCTGTCCAATTTTTGTACCGGGTGCAGTAGCACGTAGGACGGCTGACTCGGATTTTTGAACGAACTCTCCTCATACTCGGAAAATACGGTGAGGCAAGGGATCGATATCGTTATGTAACCATTTATGGCCAATCCGGGTTTGGAGTTGCCAATTTTGCGAAACCATATCCTTCGGTCTCTGGGTTGGCTTGCAGAGACGGGTGACTAGCTTTAAAGCTCGAGACAGGCGTTCGTTTTGAGAAGTTTTAGTCGATTTAGCACGGACGGCGAATACTCAGTTTTTCGACATGGGGTTGGTAATCAGTTCTCTGTGTCATTGGATGTTTCTGGTCGTTTTTGGACTTAGGCGATAGAAGCCGTGAATGAATCTGGATACGGATCGTGATAGCGAGAGTTGTAAGGTAGTGTACTGGGATTTCGAAGTAGTGGCATGGTCTATGGGTGGATATGTGTGACTGTATAAGCTCGAGAGAGGGATGGCCTAAACCCTCTCATCCACGCAGCATTCGTTGTCGTTGGAATCTCGGGAAGAAGCTACCTGATGAGCCGTGGTATTGCGCCCACGGCGAAACGCGTCGGAGTATCGTGTAATGAGCTCATTGAAGATCTTACTTCATTCTCCTTTGAAGAGCTGGTATTCGATTGTACTTTGGTGTGATCTTCCAGCTTGGTTTACAGTGTGGCCGTTGTATACTTTCTGCTGAACTCTCTCTCTCTATCT